ATCTAGATCTAAGAGAAGAAACCATTTTTAAATATGAAGAAAGAAACGATGAAAACTATTGATTATAGAAAAGTAAAGAACACATACAACTGTATCCTCTCAACAAAGAAAAATTTGAGAAAAACTTGATTTCTTGTATATCATTCGAGGAACCACATATTGTTCTACAAAACAACATACATGGTATCCTGGTTCGAGATAGATCACCAAATTCAGCAAGGCTTCCCGCAGCTAAACAATATATATATATACATATTTTCTATCGAAGAGCAAAACCATGTTTGAATGCATACTACAACATTATTTGTCAGTAGTTTCAATCATTACTACTGACAACAATACAGATTCTAGATTTAAAAGAAAATCTTTCTGTATTGTTGCGTTATGAAAAGAAAGATTAAAAATAGATCATGATTTTTTAGACAATGACGTTTAGTTTTCCGAACGTTTTTCTCAATGAAAGAGTTTCATTTTCATATGAATTTATTACGATGATTCTTTCACTTCAAAAAAAGATCATATTGAAGTAATGTTACATTTTTTTAACACGTGTCTCATCAAATTATTAATATTGTTGTAAATTATTAAAATAACACGAAAAACAATAACGTGAAGCTGTTAATTCTTTTATTTTCATTATCAATGTATTGAAAAAGCCTAGATTGAACAATTGAAGATTGTCATAAAATGGAAAAAAAAAGAAAAATACTCATATTGCATTTAATATTCAAGCAATGCTCTCATGTATACTGGATGTCTCAAAACTCCATTTGAAATTTGATTACATATAATTTGGTTCATAACAAATCTTTTGAATCTATCTTTTTCGAAATGTTAGAAAAAAAATACTGGAAAAAGTTTACTTTTCAAATATTAATTCATTTTCATTTTGAATTCGACTAGATCTCTATATATATCTTGTTAGGACTCGATTTCACTTTATATTTATCAATAAACTATTCAGATGAAAAACGCCTTCGTTGGCAAAATTAAACGAATTCTCCTGATCATCAATTACCTTGCATGGTTTATCGGAAGATACTTAGCCATCATTTGATGTGTAGTTATTCGCAAAATGAAATAGACTATTGCAACAGTCAAAGTATTTCACAGTGACTCATTTTCACAGAGATCATGAATTTTGTCTAGTTTTTCTTCAGTGATCGTTGAAGATTTCCCATAACTTTGTAGATTTGCAACTGCACTAGTTAGTTTCAAAGAAGATTCGAAAAAGTTTCTCGAACACAGTCTAGATTAGATGCTCGTAAGCCGAATTCGACTATAAATAAAACTATTTGTATTCTAGTGTCTATAGACACAAATTTATCAGGAAATATAAATATTCATCTGAAAAAATCTTGCAAAGATCATATAAATTCTTACTGGCAATGGATATTGTAAAATTCATACTCAATGATCATACGAAATCGTACAATATCTTACCGTGAAGCTTAATATTTATATCTCCCGTATACAATTAGTTTTGTGACTTTAAATAAATATTTAAGGAATTGAATACATTCTAATTTAGATGCTACTTTTTTAGTATTAAAAATACATCTATGTAGTAGTGCTGATCTATTTAAAAAGTCACTGGATAGATAATTTAATGAATTTGTTTAAGTAGAAGTTGGTTTTCTTTTGTTTGAAACTATCAGGGTAGATAGATGTCGATGAGTAGAACAAAAGTTGTCATAGGCTTCGAATTTCCAAATACTTCCTACTAGAAAATATCTGGATTGCAAAGGCTAAAAGTCGTACCGCTTTTTCAGTCACAATACATCTGATAGAGCTGATGTTTTCTTTTTCTCGAAGATACAAGACACTATTTTCGATACCTAGTTTTGTTTAGTTTCTATTTATGTTCTTCCATTTCAATGCAAAAATCATAATGTTGAGCGTTCTTCCAAAAGCACATGTTGTTTTTTTTTACTAGAGTTTTTTTGTAAAATTAGTCAAAAATCAGCGGTACGATGCTTTTCAAAATAAAAAAAAAGTGAACACTTCAAACAGTGTCCAGTACCTGTAAGAAAAAGAACTTTTCTTCTTCAATTAAAGTGATCGCAAAAGTGACCGTATTCAGCAAAGTTAGAAGTCCATGATCAATGCTCTTAGCACGTTTAGAATACGAAATAATCATTATCATTAGGAGAATTTTACATAGAAAGAATAATTGCAGCGCAAGTTTTTTTTACTATGGGTTTCGAGAATTGAGTTTAATAAAAATACTAACTAACAAGACAAAGTCCTTATTTATATCGCATTTGCCAGAGGAGACTTATTTTTATTTTTAATTTTTATAAACACATATTAATATATATGAGTACAAATAAAAGACTTTCTTAAGAAAACAAGATGATAGAAATCGAAAATAGAAGAAAATCAGGTACGGAAAGTCATAGATCAATCGTTTATTGAGTATCTACATATCATGCTTATTCAAAATTTTCTACAAAGATAAATACAACGTGGAAGTTTGAACGAAAGAACAAAGAAAAAAGTACTTGATGTTTGATCGTTATCTATTTTAATTTCCGAGATGAAGATTATTATGTAACATTAAATTCAATGATTTATTATATACATAAAACAAGTGCAGCACTTATTAACTGTATGATTTAAAGTCTTGCACAACATCGTTCAATATTTTCTTATCAATGACGCATATTAGACTCATTTAATAAACTCAAATTTATTCAAATTTTTTTTTCTTGTTGCTTCCATATAAATAAACAAATACATTCTTGTACACATATACATGAATAACGAATTGTATGCACACAAGAGATATAGTATGATCAAACTTGTTGAAATGTTAATGCTTTTTTTTTTTTTTTGTTAAATCTATATCGATTGAATGAAGAAGGAAGTGTTTGACTTAGTGCATATGTGCTTTTATTCTTTATGTCTTTCTCAAATTACAGCACATGTACGTATTGGACGACATAGGGCGAGATCGATTGATAAGACGTTAATTCTTTTTTTTTTTATATTTTTTGAGACGGCGGAGAGGTGTGGAGTAGGAGAACGAAATATGTTTCTTCATGTCTCGTTTTCAAGAGCGCAACTAGTGGACAGACAGACGAACAATCTTAGTAACAATAAGAGACATCAATCGTTGAATCGAATTTGTATAGTAAACAGTTCAATTGAAATTCATCTCAAGTAACACCTAATAAAATTAGTATTGGTTCAAAATACATACATTAAATCAATAGAACTAACGAATGACCTTCAAGACTCGATATGAACGAAACTTTCTTCCATTTTTCTTTTTTTATATTTCTTTTCATTATATAGCACCTACCTAATAATAAGAATTAAAAAAAAAAACGAGCGAGTTAAAAATTATACCAGCATCAATTTTCTATATAATATAACAGCTTAATTCGGTATTTAACTCAGACTGAAAATATGACAACCTGGTGTGTCTATAATTTAAATGTGCTTATATATGTACGAATAGAGAAAACGTTATTCTGGCAAATTTATTGTAAAAAAAATTGAATTCTTCGTCACCATTTTAACTCGATTTTTTTAATTGTCTCTTAATATCTCTTGTTATACTCGAGTTGATGATTGAACATATTATTCATTCGATCGATGTTAACGCTCTTTCCTAAAGCCGACTAGTTGCCTGTCTCGTTCATCATTCTAAAATCTGAACTTTATTATTGAGCCACATTATACGTGTGTATGTGTGCGTGTGTGTTCGAAGAGAACAACGAATAATCGCATACGTTTACAGTTCTATAGTTTCTTTTTTTCTTCTTTTTTCTCTCTCCTTTCACTTAGCTCTTTATTCGCCTATCGATGTGCTGCTTCTCTTTTATTAATATTTGTAGTTGATGTACTCTTGCTAGATATGTGTTAACACTTCACATTGGTTTTAAGCAAAAAATCCGTGTCTATCGATCAACTGCATAAGAGAATGTCAGTTTACTTTAGTATGATATACAAATTTATCTTATTTCAATTGATTTCTTATCATTTTCAATGCACCGTTTGATAATACAGTCAGTTCATGTAAGTATTTCAAAAGTATAAAACAAACTGAGCACAAAATATCTTTGTTATAATGATGAGTATAGAGGGCGAAAAAGAATTTGTTCTTTTTTTTTTTTCTTGACAGTTCCTATTGAGGCTTATTTCCTATATACTCAATAGCGCTTAGGTGAGCAAAGAAAAAGATGATTTAATGCCAGTTAGAACATAGATTAAAATATAAAAGAATAAAGAGCACAAGTAAAAACAGACGCTTTTTCTCTTCTTTGTCTCGTTTAAATACTTCTACGATTTCTTCGTTTGCCTTGTATTTTATCCACAAAAGAAGATATATAAAAATAATAGCTCTCAGTAAGTAATCAAACAACAATATCTACATATGCACTTAGTGCAGTCAAAAAAAAAACAATGTAACCAAAAATAGAGGACGAAAAAATGATTGCAGTCATCCATTCGACATGAACAGTATAAATAGAACAAAGAGCAGTACACTCATGTTGTATATCAAAAAGAAAAACATTCAGAATAATGTCTTTCTTTTTTTTTTGTGCTTGAACGATATATTGAACATGCATCTTTCTAGCATAAAGATTAACTCTCTTAGGTAGTGTTCATTCTTTGAAATACATTGCGAAAAGGTATTCAAGTAATTTGTTCACGCCTCTTTCATATACTATTGAAATTTGATCGAAATCGTCATAGACAAAAAAAAAATAGAACACAATGCGCCCATACAAGTAGGATTAGTCATATTTATGATAAATATATAAAAGAAATTCGATCAATCAAACATTAAATATTAATTATTCAAAAGAATTACATCATTGATGATCTATCACTTCTTTTCATTAGTTCAATAAGTTAATCCTCTTTCTTTTGTTTTTATTAGAACATTTATTCGAAATATAAAATTCTTATTTTTTAAATCAAAAAAGAAAAAATATACATTCTTATTTATTAAAGGGATTATTTATTTATCATCTCGTCAATAGACGATGAACGAATTAGAAACAAGTTTATCATTATGGGCAATATGTTCCATAATATTATTTGAAATTTTAATTCTTATTTGTCTATTTCGATGTTATTTTAATCGTATTAGACCAAAAAAGTTTTATCTTAAAGTAAATAATTTTTTTTTTTTGAATATAAATATTTCATTAATTAGATTATTTTAGCGAGAAGAATATGAATATTTACAAGATATTAATAATAATAGTAGACAAACGAAATTTCCATCAATTATTCTTCGTCCACCACATGCTGATGAATTAGCACTTGTTGGTACTATTCGAGGTCAACATCCTATTGTAACATATAATAAAGGTGTACAAAATTTTGGTTATTATCCTTATGATGAAGATAAAAAAATTCCACAAGTATCAACATCATCAACATCCTCATCATCATCTCAACATTGGCTTGATTTACAATCACCCATAATAAATACAGCACAATTACCACCTGCTAATTATGAAATTCATTCCCATCCGATAGATAATTATGCTTTTAGACATTCTCCGCTTCCTCGTCCAATTATTACAGATCTTCATCAATATCGTGAAGACTATGTTAATGATGATGATGATAATAGTCAATTAGAAAATTATCGATTTCAATCTTTTCGTCGTCCCAAAATAATTCTTCCACAAGTACATCGAATTGATACATCAACTGAATTTCATGGTATTAATTATTCAAATATTGTACCAAAGTCTATTCTTAAAAGTACTACAAGTATAACACCACCGAATGATTTTCTTTCAACTCCATATTTACAAACACAAGATAGTCCAACATCATCAAATTCTGATGAATCTTTACAAAAATCAATTAAAATTACTAAACATCAATCTAAACCAATGAATTATTCAATAAATTCAATTGAAACAAGAATACCAATCGAATCAATTTTATCACCTACTCTACCATTCTCATCGAATTATCAAATGAGATTTGCTAATGTTAATCAATTAAATGATATTGAATGGGAAACTCCAAGAGAGTTTCAAACTATTATTCATGAAAACGAAACATTTTATTCTAATCATGAACAAACTTCCTCATCTATTATCGATTCTAAAATTTCTATATCACAACGACGTGAAATGAATCGTCTTCATGCTCATTATTTGTCGAAAAACGATATCACACAACAACAGGCATTTGAATACTAAAGCTATTTCCTCAGGGTTTCCTTTCTTTTTTTTTCTTCTTCTTTTTGTTATATGATCCGTATTATAACCGTTTACTTTAATACTATACACGAAAGAATGTCAATATTTGTGTATTTGTCTCGATGTGTGATACATGTTTTATAAATTGTAACATTATATATCAAATATGAAACCTACGTATATTTGAGAATGAATGATTATTGATTGTATTAAATTTCTATTTTTTTTAAATTGCCTTTTTTCTTCTTTGTCTTTTTTTTTTCAAGTGTTTAGGAATTTTTTTTAAATATTAGATTGACAAACAACGAAAAGTAACAATATAGAACATTCAAGCAATGAAATACATTGCTTGTAGTATTAGAAAAAATAATTAAGAATAGAAATATGTTTTAATGTCATTTTTCTATGCGACTATATGCCTGAAAAAATATAATCATCGTTTCTTATAAGTATAGTTTACTTTGTTAAGCTTCAACATTGATTAAGAAAAGGTTACAGACAATAATAATAACGATAGTTTCGATATATTCAACCAGGTAACAATATATAATCACTTAAAATGTCATATATATTGTACTTTTCTTTTTGTTAATCATCGTCGTGTTTTTTTTGTTATTGCTTTCGAATAATTCAATTTGTTAGAAACATGATACGTGTGTTATTTTTGAAATAATAGTTTACTACTCTTTTCAAAATGTATTGAAGATTTACATGATTGATATATGAAGGATTTATTTATTTTGTTCTGTTATCATGTTTCAATAATCCATGATAATTAATCAGATGAATAAGAGAAATTCAAATTATTCATAACACCTTCATTGAAAATGAATCGAACATTTCATATGATGAACAATGATCAGTACATGATTCTTGTAAACGATATACATGGTACTGATATCTTATAATTGATTGATGGAACTTTTTTGTTTGATAATTCGATGTATGTTAGTATTTCAACTGTGACTCCTTTTAATGTTTACTTATCATTTGTATCTATAAAAATTGTATGCGATATTTCATGAGTTCTAAATATAGGAATGAATCGAAGATATGCATCATGTGCATGAAGACAATCCGTGCCCTAACGGCAAGTATGAGTCATTTTTGTACTGAATGTATGCTAGTCAAAAGATACTGATCACCATAGTCAATATATTTTGCAAAACTGACAAAGAAATAGAAGATCAAGAAAGCAAAGACATCTAAAAACTTGTTGTTTAAAAAATAACTATGTAAAGAAAAAAAAACATTTTTTCTGCAAAAAAAGTGAACAATAAAATATCTTACATTTCTCAAGGGAATAAAAAATGGAAATATGTTCACGCTACATTTCATCTTTATACGTCAGCATTTAATGGTTTTACTACTATCCACAATTGTGATAAAAGATTATCAGTTAATTGCTAAAAACTCTTGCATATTTTTATAGAACATATGTCAAAAGTTCAATGCTTGGCTTTAGTAACTCAAATCTCTTTTAGATACAGTGAAAGGATATGAAACTATTTCTCAATTACAGAGTATGCCAATCATAAATATCTGATTAAAGGAGATTGAAAAAAACTGAAAAAGTGCACAAAAAAACAAATCGAAAGATAATGAAAAGTTGTCCTCCTTTTTACTATATCAACTTCCAGCTCGAATTCCAACAAATTATTACTGTAGCATGTAATAAAATTGCAAAAACAGGAAACATGCGAAAGTGATAAGTCTATCAAAAGATAGATTATACCCAGAAGTGAATAAACATAGGTCAATCTTAGTTCTAATTTTTTAAATTGTTTCGAGAGAATAATACACATGTATATTATTAAATGTTAAGACAATAAAAGTATGTACGTAGACAAAGTGGTCCGACTTAACGTGGGAAAGAAGACTTCAGACACGTATTTTGTTGCTAGTAGAAGACCTAAGGCTAACAATTACAGCCAACAATAGACCAGATTTAGTAATATTCTTAGACTTCATCATACCAGCATTTAACAAAATGTAGCACGCTGTTCTAATTTCAACACTTCTCAAACTAAATTTTCCGTTACCACTTCTACGATTAAGTTTTTCTTAGTTGAAAGATAGAACCATGTGAATGGATGTTGGAGAAACAGTTTCAGGTTCGCTCAATATCTTTGTTGATGCTCCTCAAGGTTAATTTCTGTCAGCTACACTGCTCCTAGTACATATTCATCCTCTTCCTTCCTTATTTATGAACTTAGTATGTCATCTTTTTGTTGATGGCCTAGCTGAAAATCGTTTCTCTAAAATCATTGTCGAACTAGAAAGACAGGCTGAAATGATAATGAATATGTTAGCTAAATATGCAGATGATAACTTACTTCCAGTAAATATAAATGAAACTAAAGCTTTACTTGTTCATGGCATCGTAGCTCCACTATAGCTAAAGTGAAATATGAAGATGTAAAAATTCACTTTATTAATATTTCAAGTATCTAGAGATCGATATGACTATTAAACTCAGATGGGAGACTTTTATACTAAGTCGTTTGAAGAAAGTTACTAAAATCTATCACATTCTTGAAATACTACTTAAGACAATACTTATTTCTCTTGTTCAATTCAGAAGGATATTTCTCTTTGATTAGGCTTTCCAGTATTTACGCGGGCGTTTTTAATGTTGTTTTTTTTTAATATCCAGGTACAACAAAGACTGATTGAGCAAGTATATTGCTCAGAACTACGCATAACATGTAGTCTCGATTTGCAGGACAATCTTAAAGTTTACATATTAACAAAAGGATATACAGTAAATCATTATTTATATAAAAATTGGACAAAATTTGATTTGATAAACACCTAGAAATCTTTGAAGAAGTATATCAATGTCAATTGACTTTTATTTTATATATCGATTCAGAAACTCCTTAACTCTTTGAATATGAGCGACGAGAATTCTTGTCCTAACATTCTGTGCTCTGAATATATTTTATAAATATGACATACTGATTAATTCATGGAATGATATACCTGAATATTTATGTTTAAGTTATTTGTGCACCGCTTTCATAGTATTTTGTTGAATCCGAGTTAAACATAGTCTCCTTGTGGTAAACATTGGTTTCGTAAGGGAAAATTTCATTGTTTTTCAAAAGTAATTCCGTGTTCAAAGAGTTAAAAACAATAGTATCTTAGCATAGGTATGCACAAAAATAGTAAATTTTTAAACCGTTTATCTCTGAGAGCACATCACCCAAAAAATAACCAAAAGGATAAAGTTAGTAACCGATTCGTGTTCTAGAGAAAACATTTATCAACAGATTTGTGCAAAAAAAGAAGATAATAGTTATAGCAGATAGGGTATTGTATATATTGTCAAATCTAAACCTTTCGAAAAATTTCTATGGCAAAAAGTCCTTTGAAAATTCAAAAACCTTTTTTTAAAACCTTGTTTTGAGTTAAAAAAATAGGAATTTCTACCATATATTCGTTTTAAAAACCATACCAATTGAGAAACCATTAGTACTAGATAGAATTCCATGAGATCCCTCGATTGGTATCAAATACGATCATGTTTATTGGCAAGGTGGAAGTCTAAGTAGCTAAAGACTAGTACGATCGGGGTTTTCAAAACATGTCATGACAAAATACTCGTACCAACAGCTGTGCCGATTGAGAAAGGGTGTAGGATGTAGATGTTCTTTTCATCCTCATGCCGACATCTACCCAGACAGCTACCCATTAAAACAATCTGTTCTTTTTCATGTGATTCCTCTCTGAAAGAGAACAAGATTGATTACGGTTTTTGGCATTCATCGATTAGTAGTTATTAAAAACATCGACACACCAGTCCTATGTCGAATGTTCATGTCAATGACCTTATGATGCAAAGTGTTGTCAACTCTCGACAAATTATTATTCGTACAAAACTTTATTAGTCATTTGTTTTGTCCATTGAAATCATGATATACTTAACCATCTGCATGACATTCTCTTCTAGGATGATTCCAGAGCTTTAAAAGCTTCAATAGTATATGAAGATTTTCAAAGCAGAAGAGTGAACATCCGTTATTCAAGAATAAATGATTGTAGCAGTTTCTCATACGTTGGTTGAGGACATTCTATCTATATCAAAATAGTAGTTCATATCATCTTTTTTCTTAGAGCTCTTTATTTGAAAGTGACAATACATTTCATGCGTCAAAATACTCTATATTGGATATGTTTCTTTGCTCTGAGATAAACTTTCATGGACGATAACATGCTGGCATATGATTCTCGTTAGAACTTCATCAAAATACAAAGATTATCTGTCATTCATGACTCTTTCTGTTGATTTCTGAATAATCGTCGACTCTTCTTTGAGTTCAACCTAACCAATTAGTTGACATTAATCGCCTATGAACTCCGTTTTATGTCCGGCTCTGCTGGGGTTCCCAAGTAACATCATAAACTGCTTGAAATTTGCAGCCTCTCGATTATGTTTATGTAGAAATGTAAGCAGGTCAGCTGCATCATCGTCATTTTAGTCACCGACCAAACATCAAGTCATAGAGTTGTGAAATTTCTCTCTCTCACGTTTAAGTTTCAGGAATATCTTTCTTTTATTTTTTGGCAATTTCTTCTTCACCGTCATTTACCAATTCGTTACAAAATAGAGAGACAGATTGTAAGAAAATGCTCTTGATGAGATGCAATCAAACTGAAAGAAAGAAAGAAAGAAAAAAAATGTAACCTTGCATTTTTTCAGTATCCATTTGTTTACACATTCTACCTTCATATTGGTCTCATTTACTGCATATACGTATATGAGCGAAAAAAAGTGGCAATATTAATAGAAGTGTATTAGAAAAAGGTTTTTTTCCTTTGTTGTCAGTGTATTTTTTTTGTTAATTTCTCTTGCTCTTGATGTTTGCATTTTCAGAAGAAAAATCCAACATAATCATGCAGTTATCAATCGATAACGACGTCATCAACAAGTTTTTTCGCGCAATAAACTTCTTTATTTGCAAAGACATCAAGCGTATACTTGAATGATGATGTTA